TGTTCGATGAGATGATTGACAGTGTGGCTGCGGCTGTTGCTTATCAGCAAAGTACAAGTCAGTTTCTGAGTGTTCCATGTCCGTTCGATGAAAGTCCCTCTTGTGAACCATGCATATACTATATAACCAGGCCTCAACGATTGGAAAAGAGATGCGAAGCGCAAAAGGGGCCCTCCTAGAGCCTTGAATGCTTCAGTGCATGAGTTCGTGACCGATGATGTCGGATTTGTGCAAGCCTCGAAACCTGGGTTTTCCACACTCAATCTGAGGATGGTAGAGATTCGGTGCCGGCTTCGATTCGGAAGCTTGGTTCCTACAGTGGCCACAACAATGCCCGAGACTTTGCAACCGCCGTGCGACTCCCTGTGGCGGGTGTTGTGAAAGAGTGGGGTAGGAAACAAGCTGTAGTTGTCACTTCGGGATAATATTACGTGTCATTCCAATATGAATTCAATTGGTCCTTGATTCGATTTAATTGAAGCGCCCTGGCAGACTCCTGTGATGGTTGAAACCGTCATCAGAAAGAAGGAAGATTCCTTGGACGAGGTGAAGGTGTCGATTCCTGTGCTACTACCTCATTTGATTCTAACTTATATTTTCAATACTGTTGGTGTGCATATAAAACCTGAGACTCTGAAGCGCTACTGGGCCCACTGCAAAAGAGTCTATGATTGGGCTGCCACAGATGAGTTGGATGGCTCGCACATGCCTTTGAGTATTTACGGGGACTCTGCGAGGTACGGGCAAGGATACGACCAGAGCAAGGTGACGGGGTGTTGGATGAGCTTAGTGCTGTGGAGACCCAAGAGCACAAGAATGAGCCAATGGCTGTTGTGGACTTTGAAGGCTGATTTGAGCCTGGGGCCCAAATCCCACAATCCGCTTTATCTTGCTGTGGTTCAATCATTGAACTTTGCTTTCAATGGAATTTCCCCGGAGGGGAGGCAATTGCCACACAAGTTCATTGTCACAGAAATAAAGGGTGATTGGGAGTACATGCAACAAACCTTCAGTTTAACCCGCTGGTGGAAATGTCGGTTTATTTGCTGGCGATGCTTGGCAGAGAACCACGAAAATGCAGAGCATTCCTATTTGGATGTATCCGACGATCCTTCCTGGTCAACAACCGAATTGTCGCATAACGATTTTATGCTGGATGTTGTCGGCAATGAATGGATATGCTGCTTGGAAGGACATGTAAGCCACTAAGGTTGAGCCAGTGAGATCGTTTGTTGGTTTTGGCTTAGGCCCCCTCGTTGGCCTGCCGCTGTTCCACATGACGATGCTGTGCCACTGCTCTCTTCACAATGTCAATTTGGGCATTTGCCAGGATGCTACGGGTTCCACGCTGTTGCTTGTTAGCACAATCGTGTTGTTCAAGTTCGAGTTCTCTTGATGCGATGTAGAAACAAGCCAGCAAGCAAAGGATGTATTTGATCGAGAAAGACTATTTCGGATGCCACGAGACCACGAGCCTGCACAAGCTGCTCGTGGTGGCATTCAAAGATTTCAAAAGCTTTCAGCGGTCTACTGGCATTCGCTGCTCACAAACGAAATTCGTTCCGAATTTTGAACCTTGCCCAAAGTATGACCCCAATCGGTTGATCAATTTATAGTCGTGTGTATTCTACAGTGTTGTTTGGCCAAGGTATGGAAGGAAAAGAAGGGGGCCATCATGGCGCATAAGGGCTACAACGGAAGAGTGATAGCATTCTGGCTGGCAGATTGTTTGCAACGAGCTGTCAACCGAACGGTTGTGGAGGATCGACATTTCGGGCAGTGGTTGCAGCAAGATGGGAATTGGCCTCGAGAAGACGATTTGCTGGCACCGACCGCTGTGGCCATGCGCCTTTTCTGAACCAAACAGAAACGTGTAAGTTTCCAGTTCAACACACGTGTTTTTAGAGTCCTGTCCAGGCAGTCCTTGTCCGAATGGTTCCATCAAGTTGAAAGCCATGGCAGGTATCTGATGCTTGGCTGCAGAAGAGTCCAATGCGCTTTGTTTCGGGTATGTTTGAAACTTGGGGTCGTGATAACTCAGGAGTGAGCAAGCCGCCCGGAAAATCTACGATGCAGGAATGAGATATCTCCGCTATCATGTTTTGCTCTGCAAACTTTCGATGAGGAGTGATGTGATTTGTGTCTGATGAAACTTATTTACGTTTCGAGTCTGACATTGGAGGAGAATGAAGCTCGCATGGCAAGTGCGACCAAAAATCCACGAGCCTCGTCTAAATTTTTCGGGCATAGTCTAGCAGA